CCAGCCTGAGTTGCCGCCAGTCACTCTAGTAGCAACCTCAGTTGCTGCTGTGGCCGCTCCTCTTTGGTCGGTTTCCACGCAGGCTATGCTCAGTCCGCCTATGGTCGTGGATGGTTCGCTAGTTGTGGATGTTATTACATCGTAGTTGTCCACCCAGGCCATGCTACCTACTTCAACTTCTTCAATTTTCCCCTCCAATCCACATTATGTGCAGACTAGATCTAAGTCGGGGATTGTGAAACCATGTCATCTCTTGTCCCTCCATACAACTGTCATTGCCTCTGAACCAACTAATTTCACACAAGCTTCCAAAGACATCACTTGGAAACACACAATGGTAGAATAATTTAATGCCCTCATCAATAATAACACGTGGCAATTGTTTGATGAATGAAAAATTTGGTTGGTTATTAGTGGGTTTGCAAAGATTAAATATAATTCAGATGGCTCTATGGAGCGATACAAAGCTTGTTTGGTTGTTCAAGATATTCATCAACAAGCTGGTACTAATTTTCATGAAACTTTCAATGCTGTTGTCAAACCAACTACTATTCGTCTTGTGCTCTCTTTGGCTATTTCTATTTTATATATTTAGTTGGGTTATCTGTTAACTCAATATTAAGAATGCTTTTTTGCATTGTCTTCTTACCGAGGAGGTGTACATGAAACAATCTCCGGACTTCGTTCATCCACGGTTTCCAAAGCATATTTGCAAACTTAATAAGGCCATTTATGGCCTCAAGAAGGTTCCTCGTGTTTTGTTTTATTTAGCAGCTTTCTTCTATCGCTTGGCTTCCACTGCAACAAATTTGATTCCTCCATGTTTGTTCATTGTCAAGGTTATGATATTATTATTCTTTTTTTATATGTTGATGACATTGTTCTTACATGAAACTCATCTACTCTCGTTCATCGCTTTATTCGCTTATTATCTGATCAATTTGCTATGAATGCTCTTGGTGATATTTAATTATTTTTTGGATGTCCATGTCACTCGTACACCTGATGTTCTATTCTTATCTCAACATAAAAATGTTCAGAACTTTATGTAAATTTCACCTTCATATTCTTACTCCCTTGCATCCCCCGATTGCCGCTAAAACTAATTTGATGGTGAGTTATTGGCAGATCTCATTGTATATAAGAGCATAGTTGATGCTTTACCATATCTTACAATTATAAGGCCTGATATTGCATTTGTTGTGCATGTTGTTTCTCAGTTTATGCATGCTCTTCGTTCTACTCATCTCCTTGTTGTCAAAAGAATTTACAAGTTCTTGCAGGGCATAACTACTCATGGTCTCTTACTTCGCAAGGTCATTGGACCAACACTTGTCATTGCCTATTCTGATGCTGATTGAGCAGGTTGTGCTGACAGCTCCCGCTCCACCTCCAGTTATGCGATATTTTTTGGCCCTAATCTTATTTCTTGACAATCAAAGAAGCAACTTACTTTGTCGAAATCCTCGACGGAGGTTGAATATCGCGCCCTTGCATATATAGTGACTGAGACACTACAGTTTCATCACATCTTAGTAGAACTTGGGATTGTTCTTCGCCATCTTGTGACTCTTTTCTGTGACAGTATTAATGCTATCTACATAACAACGAATCCTGTTCTACATGATCGTAGTAAACATATTAATGTTGACTATCACTTTGTTCGGGAGTGAGTTGCTCATGGTGATTTTAGCAGTTTGATATGTTCCCACACAACTTCAGCTTGCAGATATTTTTACTAAGGGGTTATCTGCTCAGTGCTTATTTTAAGGACCAATCTGTCCGTGTGTATTCCACCTCATCCGGTAAGAGAAGGGATAATAGTGCAACTATAACATGTAATTATCATTGAGGGTCTATATGTAAAATTGTATAATATCTTCATACATATATACATGTATTGACTTGGGTGCTAGGGTAAGCCTACCCTGCTCATTCGATTCTCTCTCTTTCTCTCTTAGTACTTTCTCACCAACTATAGGATTTTTTTTTCCGCGGTCCCTCCTAGTATTTAGAGCACATAATGTAAAGCCCTTCTTCTGGATCCCAACTACATTTTGGATCCAAATAATGAAAGTCTGAGTAGGACCTTTGCCTAACTGGTATTCATTACGGCCCAATCCAATGGATGCAAGCCATCAATGCTAAGAACAAGAGACAACATCACTATCATGTCCTTGTCTACATCTCTAGATTTACAGGAATTAAAGAATGGAACGATTCACTGTCAGGAAGGAAGGAGGCGGCCGGTGCTTTGTTGGGGGTGGGGGCGGGGGGGGCGGAGGGTTGGTGCTGTGCGCGGATAAAGTAACAAATAAGCATGGAGTTGGCTCATATGGTACACTAAGGGGCTGTTTGGTTCCCTGTTTTTAAGGGAAAGTTTCTATTGAAAGCCTGCCAAAAGTGTCAAAAGTGTCACTTTTTGGCAAGCTTTCAGCCAAAATCTTCTTTTTTAAAGGTGATTTTGGCTGAAAGCCTGCCAAAAAGTGACACTTTGGCAGGCTTTCAAGAGAAAAAAATTCTAACCAAACAGCCCTTAACAGTTCTCCCCCCACATTGGTTGATTATGATTCATCGCATGTTCCCATCAACAACACGCCACTCACATAAAGGATGGAAAAGCAAAAAAAAAAAGGAATTCCTTTGTGCATCTTCATGTTAGACCCCCATTAAGTGAGATCAGTTAATGTTTAACTCTCTCTCTTGTAATTTCTTGTAATTGTATATAAACAAGTGTAAGTAAATAAAACTGGAAAAATGCTACCACGCTCCAAATGCTATATACTATTTTCGTACTATCTCTAACAAACGTGTGAGGTTCTTCCTTTGCGAGTGACTATGGACCTCACTCCTTTTTTTTGGTAATACAAAAATAGTTTATAATTTGCACTTTGCAATACAATGATCACTAATCGAAAACTTGACCTTAAGTCTAATGTCTTTGATCATTTCTAACGAAGAGAGATATTATAGTTTTACTTAGAAATGAGTTAAAATCATTATTAAGAAAAGATGTCGCTTTCTATACTTTTTAAATTGCCAATTCATGATATACAAGTATTCATCTAACTAGAAACTCTTAGTTCCATGTTCTCTAGATCTAAACCATTAATTAATCCTTCTCTAGGCTTGTTCTCTTTGAACAAAGAATTTAATCACACAATCAGCTGCATAATACGCGGCGTATGATAAGAAGTAAGTACTTCTTGCGCAAGCGTACGTTAGCAAGGCCAAGAGAATGGCCCCGGACGACCACTATTGGGTCATTTCAAATTTGGTGCACGTATCATTTGCAGCCACCTCTCTCACCTCTCCCTATGAGGCTATGACGCGCTTTCTCTCTCCTCTCTAAAAATTGGGTCAATTTCAGAAAACACCCTGACATTTGGGGGGTATTTTATGCTGTCACTGAAGGAGAGAATTATATCATTAAAAGTATTTTATAATTTAAAATTTTCCAAAGTTTATGGAGGTTTCTCAAACTCTCCAAAGTTTGGGAGTATCTTTAAGTTTTAGGGAAAATTGTATCTACCCCCAATTTTCTTACAGGTATTCTGTCTCCTAAGATTTTTTCAATGCTCCCAAAACCCTCAAAAGCAAAACCATAATTCTCTGAGTCCCCAAAACACAAAACTCAAGAATTTAAAACATGTGAAGACCATAATACTATTTCTCTCTCTCTCTCTCCCCCCATGATGTTACCTTGACAACCAACGCGTAACATTCACAACCAACTCGTAAACTTCACAAACAACTCGTAACCTTCACAACTAACGTGTAACCTTCACAATCAACTCGTAACCTTGACAACCAACTCGTAAACTTCATAACCAACTCGTAACCTTCAAAGCAACACATAACCTTTCTTTACCATCAACTCATAAGTTTAACAACAAATCTATTACAGTGAAATAATAACAATATATAAATTTACATGCTCTACTTTAATCTCAAGTCATCGATTTAAAAAAATTTACAATATGTAAAAATAACAAAAAAATACAGCACTCAGATTCAGTACAAGTTAAAAAAGAAAAAAAATTACACCGGAGTCGTCGGAGTTCCCGCATTTTTCTTCGAAATGGCGACGCAACTTGTCATTACCGTCTTCAAGATCGTAGTTTTCTTCACCTCATGAACGAACGTCGGGAAAGTTTCACCGCCGATGTCGACACCGTTAAAATTTTTAGAGGGAACTAGAATTTCCCCCCAAAACCTATTTTCAAATCATCATAGTAATATCTTGAGAGAGAGAGAGGAGAGAGAGAACGAGAGAGAGAGAGAGAAGGAGAGAGAGAGAGAGAGAGGAGAGAGATGAGAGAGAGAGAGAGAGAGAGAGAGAGAGAGAGAGAGAGAGCAGATGAGAGAGAGAGAGAGAGAGAGAGTGTGTGTGTGGGTATTATGGTCTTCACATGTTTTAAGTTCTTGAGTTTTGTGTTTTTGGGGCTCAGGGAATTATGGCTTTGCTTTTGGGGGTTTTGGGAACGTTGAAAAAATCTTGGAGGGGGGATACTTGTAAGGAAATTGGGGGCTAGAAGCAATTTCCCCTAATTTGGGATTATCCTGATAGCGCTTGTATGCAAACCCCCAAAGTTTAGGGAATGCTCTGAAAATACTCCACTTTTGGGGGGTTTATGTAAATTAACCTTAAACTTTTATTTTATATTTTATATTTTATATTTAAGCTTCGCTCGTTGAACTCTCTCTCTCTCTCTCTAGCCAAAATTGACTTCAGCTTAGGAACCAAAATTTCCTCTTTTTTTTTCCTCCTCTTAAATTGTAGGGTTTCCAAAAATTTTAAGTCAAAGATGGTTCCTTTCTCATGAAACCACCAGATTCAATTTTACAAATTGATGGATTCAGAGGTCAAGGATGTTAATGGCAGCAAACCCTACTCAGTTGAGGAATCGAGAGAAGAAGAAGTTGTTAATGGCGGAGGAGAGAGCAAATCCCTGTTACACAACGAGAAGAAGGCCGTTGCTAATGG